TCACTGCTGTTTTCTAGCATTTGCCTCTCCTCCAGTCCCCAGATGGTGGAAGTAACATTTAAACCTCCTTTTCCTCTGCCTTGTACAATAGACCTTGGCACCATTTCAACTGTTTACTCCGGTAATTAACAGCACTGATACCACAACAATTACAACTCCTACAATCTTAGCACAATAATGCTATGAATTAGTGAGAGCTAATGGCTGGAAGGTATAGTGGTTCCAGACTGCGAGATCTGTGCATTTTTCGAATAAAATAAAAGGTAGGAACAGCACGCTGGCGGTAGACAATGATTACCTAGTAATTAGTTTACACAAAGCTTCCTATTTAATGGCAAAACGCTGTAATTAACGCGTGACAGAAAATCAAAGGGTACTTTGTAAGCATATGAAAAATTAACACTGCAGGCCTATAGCTTTATGTACTGATTAGGAGCATATTAAATCAATAGGACACACAGCCCAACAGCTTGCAGAGCCCCTGCTTGTGGTTTAGAGATGATATCTCGGATTTCACCAAGCCCAGGGATGCAATTCTGCTTTATTTCACCTCAGATTTCCTCATCACACGCAGATAATCTTAATAAATAAGGATTGTTTGCAGGTTCGATGAATATTTTAATTATTTGGAATAATTGTTGTGCTCACGCTAAGAAACCTCTGGCACTGCTCCTTTCCATCATTGATCTCTTCCTGAAGTCTTTGGGCTCCTTTTCTTTCCCTGTTAAACATGTTATCGGTTAGAAGGAAAGCTAAAATGCTGGAAATGCATTTTCTGGGGATCTGTCAGAGTTTCTGGCCCTCTTCAGGCTGGAAAAATACCACACCTGCAATTCCACGTGCACAAGCAGCTCCTTCAGAACCCCCTCCGTGGGCTTTAGGTGTTACATTAAGATCAATTAATAAAAAAAATCAGGAAAAAAGCAGTGCTAGGAAGCTCTGTGTTCAAAGGAGGTCAGAAAGGAGGGTGCTGGCAGTGGCAGGTTTCTGAAATTACATTTTTGATGGATTGGTTTTATCCTGATTTGTTTGCAAACACATCCTACTCTGAATTCCTGAACTCAGTAAAGAAATAAGGTGTGGAAACTCCAGGTGTGCTGTAGCGTGTGGAATTCATCCAAGCACGACACAATCTGCTCCCCACTACTCCTGATCTCCAGCTAATCCCAAAATTCATCTATTACTTAGTACAGGACTTTTAAAAGCTGACAAAAAAATGGTTCATTTAAAGGAACATCCAACATTTTGCATCCCTATTTTCCAACAGCAATCAATGCCAAGTCCTGCGAGCCGCATCCCAATCTTGTTTTAGGTGATTCAGGCCAAAAGTTGTTCAGATTTGTCACCTTTTGAAAAGATTCTGATTTTCTCATTGTAATAAATTAATTGAATTGCAGCCTGTAAGGAAAAGAAACTGAGACAAAAAGTTTTGACTCAACTGGAGGAGTAAAATCCAAATATTTTTTCTAGTAGAGGCTGCCCAAGAGCATGAAATTCTTTTTTTTTTTTTTTTCCCTTTATGACAGATATTTAATGGAGAGTTTTGGGATGGTTTTGTAGTTATCACCAGTTTTAAGGGCTTATTCAGAGAGTATTTGTTGCTTGTTCTTCTGTGTCTTGTTCTATCCCTAGATTTTCAGCTCTTCTTTATCCCTTTTTTTCTTCAGCCTGATCTTTGTTATTTTCAGACTTGCTGCTAGATAAACTCACATCATGATGTTGGTCCTGGTGGTTAATTAAGTCACAGGGTAATAAAAGATAATTCTAAAATTAATTTCAGTAGTAATTTAATCTAGTGATTTACTACAGCTCCATAGTTATACAAGAGGATGGGATCCTACAGTTCTGTGTTATTTATATAAAAGGGAATGGTTAAAAGGGAAAAAAAAAGGCAATGCCAACAGGAAGGTGATGTTCTCTTTGCCCTAAGAGGGAAGAGTTTTGGGAGTTTGAGTTCTAAGAAAAAGGAAAATATGAAGACAGAGTGAGCATGATCAATCCTTGGATACTCTCACAGCTCCAACAAGATGGAATCCCTCTAAACCAGAGATTGTGAAAGCAATAATGAGAATTTTCCATGAATTTAGAGCCTCCCACCAAGGGTCCATAAAAGTTTGGGTGAGATTTTTGAGTCTGAGCTGCTGACTTTGAGCTGGAGTGAGATGCCCATATATTATATAAAAATATATGTATAATATTCATATAATATACCACATATTAATAAGGATTATGGATGTCTTTATCTAGATATTCCAAACAATTATTCACATATTCTTACAGCAGCAAAAACACTTTTTGTGCTATGCATGGATTGACTGAAGCTTGAATTAGTACAGAAAACCTGCAGATGTTAAAAATTAATTTGTTTGCTCCCTACAATCATCATTTACCCTACAAAAAACAATTAAACTGATAAGGACACTCAGTATTTATTCATTTTTTTATGCACAACTAGGGCTGGACCCTGATGTTCTTTTCCACATTGGAAGATGTCTCCACAACCAACCCCACAAAGTTCCAAATGTTCTCTGGACATTGAACCATTGGATTCTGGGCCTCAGGATGAAATTTCTCTGCTGACAAGACTTGAGCAATGCATAGGAGGCTGATGGACTTCGAGACATTTTGCAGTTTATGAATTCAACCCTTCCTGCAGCTGCAAATTAATTGTTCAGATAACTCAGAGACTGCATTAAGTTAACAAAGTGAAATCCATCCATAATCTTGTCATGCATTTGGGTCTGCCCCAATGCTGTATTTGCAACGAGGAATCTAAAATCAGCCTTGTTTTTAGCTGGAATAGATTTTTACACAGTTCAAACTCACCAAGTCCATTATTTTTAATCTGTTGCCTACTCCACGCCACTGAGGAAAATCTGGGTGGCGTGTCTTGAACTGCTATGCAAATGATGCTATTTGTAAGTATTACCATAATTTAGTGCTTACAGTCATGTTCTCATTTCTAATAATTCCACCAGAATGGAGAGGCTTTTCACTGTGCTCCTAGCCTGCAGGATAGTCTTTCATCAAGAAGCTGAATTTTTTAATAACCTGCCAGCATCCGTTTGTGTGTGGCAGGCGCCGCCGTGACACAACGTCTTCATTATCAAAGGAACCAGGTCCCCACACTGCAGCAGGACATTAAAGCACAAACTCCTGCTTTGATGTTTAAATGTGGATCATTACAATGGTGTTCCCTGACAAAGGAGCGTTTTAATCCTCTGCTCTCCCTGCTGAGGCTCGGGGAGGCTGCAATTCCTTATTTCAAAAGAGGGTAAACGTGGAAGGCAGGGAAATTTGAGAGAACGTTCAAGGTGTTCAAAACAGCAGCGAGTTCCACGCTTTGGAATCACAGAAAGGTTTGGATTGGGAGGGATTTTCAGGCTCATCCCATTCCACCCTGCCATGGGCAGGGACACCTTCCATTATCCCAGGCTGCTCCAAGCCCCATCCAGCCTTGGATGCTCCCAGGGATCAGGAACCCAGAGCTTCCCTGGACAACACTTTGCCAAATCCCACTTCAATATTGGCCTGGATTTGTCTGCTGACTCTGGGAAATGAAAATTCCAAAAAGCCAAATTCCTAATTCCATATTTATTTCCTAACTTCCAACATGTGTTTATATTTCAGGGTTTCTCACTGGTTGTATCCAAGCTCGAGGTAAATGGACTAAAAAGGAAAACCAAAGGAAGTCAGGGCTCACAGTGCCCTTTATGCAGAAGCACTTGGGAAAAGAATTAAAAGGGCACAGAATCGGGGAATGCCACTCCTGTCAGGGATTTAGAGCAGCAAAGAACTGGAGCTGGTGACTCCTGATTCTGTCCTGACTCAGGTGCTGGGAGCAGGACCTGGGTACATCCTGAGCTTTGTGTCCCACTGGGATGGATTTCCAGGGCTGTGCTTCATCCTGCCTGACTTACAGAGCAGAGAAATTATCCCTTCAGCTTTATATCAGGAACTCTGTTTCATAATGTGGAATTCTTTTGTATCAGTCAAACGCAGCAGAACCGTAATCAGCCCAATTTGAAATTTTAATATACAATATAATTCAATCAACCCCAAATTTCAAACCCGTTTTGATTGAATTAAAAAAAATCAGAGGAGCTATAATGAGTACTTTATGTAAATGAAACAATTTTTCTGGATACATTCCTTCTGGCTTTAAAGCCATTACATTAGGAATGAATTTGGCAAGATATACAGAAATATCAAATGCTTATTGAAATTAACGCATTTAAATACCAATGAATATTTAAACTACAAATAGTTCTTGGAATGCCAGAATAATGAAGTGTGCTTTCATATGGATTTTTCTGCAGTTCAAATCATCTTCCAGCCTCTCAATCCTGGGGATTCTTAGGAATTCAGGAGTGCCTGAGTTCATGTTCTAATGTTTCCCTTAGTCAGATTTTTATGGATGGCTCTCCTTACCTAAACACACCTGGTAATGAAACTTGCAGGACTTTAATTTTCACCAAGACCTTAATTGTTGTCTCATACAGGTTTAAAAGTTATTAGTGAGGCAAAACATCCAGGAAAAATAATCCATAGAAAACCAGCTGAAAAAGCAATCAGTTTGTATGATTTCAAATTAGTGGTGTTCAGCTATTTTAATCCCAGTCCCAATTCATCTTTGTTTCAATAATTTCAAATGTCTATGTAGAGATTAGGCTGTGCTGTCCATAAGCTTTCCTTTATGTCCTTGCTTTAGCTAAAAGAAATGTATAAAATGTATACAAATAATGTATAAAAACTGCCCATTGTTGCATAGGAAGTGTAAAGACACAACTCATTCCACAGTTGGCTGCCAGGCAATCCTCTGTATTTTGGAATATTTCCCTGTTTTATTTGAATTACTGCTGCCTATTGCTTTGTGAAGCCAGGCTGGGCTGGGATATCAACATTTTCCTTCAAATGAAGGCTCAGGGAAGAGATCTGCAGCAAGGAGGAGGAACACTAAAGAGCCAAGACAACAAAGAAGATGCAATTCTGTTACTCACACGAGCCTGGCTCTCGCTCCACGCCTCAGGGCCGTGTCCCTGCCATTCCCTCTGGATCCAGGGGTAGCATTCCAGGTGGGAAATGACATCACAGAAGGCAGTGCCGTTTCCTCCACGCTCATCATCCACCTTGAAGAGCCAGCGCTGCACTTCCAAATTGTCCAGGATGAGCTGGCTGAGAGCACGGAGCAGCTGCAGAGCAGAGACACAAAATCCTTTGCACTGAGACACCACCAAAATTCCCCCCTCAGACTTCCAGCTCCCAAATATTTTATTTTCTGAATACAGTTTCATTCTCTCCGAGGTGTTTGTGTTGTTACAGCAGTTTGGGTATGGATTGAAAGCAACCTTTGAAGACTCCATGGCCTTCATCCCTGTTTTCTGCAGAGGAATTTGCCTGCCCAGGTGTTTTGGGGTTTTTTTTGTCTGAGGTTTTGGATCACCAGAACTGCTCCCATAAACATTTGTGACGGGGAACGACGCGGGATGGACAATGCTATTTGCAAAAATGCGCCAGGGTAACACCAGCCAAAACAGCTGGGAAATTTTCCTACTGGAGAGTGCATTCCATGGTTATAAATGCACGGAGGAGGTACCAGGCAGGCTTTATAAAAATGCTAATTATTTATTTGTGTATGTACACAGATTTAAATGGCTTTCAAATGCCTTTTGCCCAGCTGGCGCAGGATGCAATTAGCTTCTTAGAAACTGCAAATGACTTTGAACCTGGTAAAAGTATTCTCACATCTTGTTGCATTGGCTGGAGTCTTCTACATTTTACAGAGTAATTTGAGGGATTTTTGTTTCTTTTTCTTTTTTTATTTTTTTTTTTAAAGATTGACCTAAAATACAATTACATGTGTTCCATTTGTAGCTTTTGAGAATGGCATAAATGTGGTTTTTTTGAGAGCTCCCTTTACAGTAATGAAAAGGATCAATAATCCTGTAAGGACTGTACCAATCACAAAGAATTATGTGCCATCTTTAAGTGAAAATTGAATTGTGCTTTACCATGGTGTCACCTCACTTTGATTATTTAACCTAAAATGTCAATATTTCATACAAGCAAACAACAGGAGGAGAAATGCCATAACCCTGTAGGATGAACCAGAAGTATTGTTAAATAATTTACATGAATCAAATAAATCAAACGGCTGTTTTGCAGGTCATTGATCATATATTTATTTCATCTACTGGAGAAGTTGCAATGGATTTGTGTAGCTTAGATTGTTCAGTGCTAAAGGTGATTTATAAAAACCAAAGCAATGTGAAAAGCCTCTTGAAGAAGCAGGAGAACCTACAAAAAAGCCTTAGCAATGATTATTTTCCTGGATGAAAAGTAACACCACCATAAAAATGTTTGGGTTTTTTTAAAAAGAAATACTTAGATGTATCATTGTAAATTGCAAAATCAGCTGAGAGAATAAAATACTGAGGAACTGGCTGCAAAATAAACACGTAAAATCAAAGTACAGAAAGCTCTTGTGCCTTGTAATTTTAGTTCAATAGGATTTTGTTATTTTCCTACTGGTCACACCAACAAGAGAGATTAATTTAGCAATGACAAACTGAGTACAAAGTAAAACTGCAAAGATGCTCAGTGAACCTCAGTAGGAACAGGCTGGTTGAGGGAGAGATTTCTTCCCCTCAGAACAGGATTTCTGGAAAATGTGCATCTTCAGTCACTGGTAAAATGGATTTATTTCATGACTTCACCCATGGGGCAGCAGCACAAACTGTCTCAAATATTGGGCCAAACACTTTAATATCCTCAAGCCCATGAAAAACCCCAGAAGAATTGTGTTCTTTCCTTCCCTGGGCACAAACTGCATTTAACTGAGCCTAGAAAGGACCCAACCTCACCCAAGACTTGATCAAACCCACGTGGGTTTGGGAGTTACTACTGGAAAAACAGTTGGGAGTTACTCTTGGAAAAATAACCCAGCAACCAGAGAAAAAACCTGCTATGATTGTCAAAGTGCAATTTAAAAAGAAAAAAAATAGCAAAACCAGCAAGAGGGCTTCAAGCAAAACCTCTAAACGTGCCACTAATTTTGATAAAAATCAAATTTCAGCCAAGACACTGTAGGTTTAATAATTAGAATATAAAACTATTATTCACTGACAAGGGCCTCATCAATAGAGTTGTTGGAACGACACAAATCCTCAAGCCATCAGCTCACCTGCTCCCTGCTGTGGATGTCCTGCTCTCCAGGAGGGGTTGGCACTCCAGCACTGGCAAAGATTCTCTTGCTGCCAGACTTGGTGCTGTAGAGCTGAGCCACTGCTGGCTCTGAGCCCAAAATTGGCACCTGGAGCTCGTCAGCCACAACCAAATCATCCAGGTGGGGAACTCCCCCAACCAGGTAGGCATCCCTGCCCTGGAGCAGAACCTGGAGCCTCTGCATTGTCCTGGGACTGTACTTGAGCACAGTGGCCAGGCACATGTGATGCTCCTGTAAAAAGAGAATATTTATTCTTATGAAAAGCGGGGTTTTGTTGGTTTTGTTTTGTATTTTTTTATCCTCCCCCTAATTCCTAATGTTGCCCACAATAAATACATTATTAATAGCAGGCTGGGTTATGACCTATCCTGTAGCTTAGCAGTTTAAATTGATAAAAGCTGTTGGGGTGAGGCTCCATAATCGTGCACATCTTTAGTGGGTTGGAAATGGCCTCATTGGGAATAGAACTAATTACTACACATCTGTATTTATTTGATCCATGTGGAATTATCCTTCTGTCAGTCGGCAGAGAGGCTTGTGGCCTTTGGATAATAGTGATTCATCTCAGCAACACTCCTGGCATGGTTTAACTCCAGAGCTTCTAAAAATCAATAAAAAAAATGAAGAATCCCCCCCCCTCCCCCTATAGCAGGGAATGTATTTCACATACAGTTCAGTGGTACTTGAAGTGATTCTCTGAGAATAAAACACTTCGATTTACAAAAGCTTTCAGTGCTTACATTAAATTACTGGGGATGCACATTTCCATTCCAGAGGGGCTCTGATAGCTGATCTAAAGCACCACTTATGGAGAGGGGAGCAGTTTTGTAATAGTTTTTTTTTTTGCTTAAAATACAAAAAAAAAAAAAAAAAAAGTTTCCAACTTTTTGGAAGGAGTTTCTCATTTCTTCCCAAAAAAGATCTATTGCTGTACAAGCAGTTCATGACATATCCTATAAGCTCTGAATTTAAATTAAGAATGTCACTCGTGGCAGGTGAAAACCTCAAAAATGTTTTAAACAACATATCCCATGCATGGCCTGCATATATTCCAATTATTTTCCCAAAAATACTCTGAGGATGAGACAGGGATGAAGAAATAGCACAAGAGAAATCCACTGCAATAAATTGTCAGGAACAAATCATAATCCCAACAAGAAGAAAATCATCTTCCTATTGAGATTTCATCTCATTTAGGCCCCAGGAAAGCATCCCTGTATTTTCAGGAGAATGTAAATCCTGGATTTGCCAGGGATTTCCAATACTGAAGAACACAGGATATTTTCCTTCCAAGTCCTGGATGTTCATTGCCAGGGACTGAAGTAGAGAAATCCTGATTTCATTGCTTGGATAGGGAGGATGATGCAGGAAAAGGACACAAGGAATCCCCTTCTGGCTCCCCTTGGTGCTTTCTCACACCAAACACAGCTCCAGAAAGTGCCCAAATCTCAGCTGGACACACTGCAAGGACAGCAGGAATGGGACACTCTCTGGAGTTCCAGCAGAAAAAAGAGGATTACAGGAAGTTTAAGGATGAAAAGAACACCAAACAAGTTACCTGGAGCCCTTTTCCCTGCATCAGTTTCAAAGGCAAGACATTTAAAGTTCTGGTCCATGGCTTCCCTTTGCCTGAGCACTGCTCCAAAAGCAGGGAGCTGGCCCATTCCAGAGTTCTGGATGCAGGGAACAGGATCAGCTCCCAGCCTGGGGCCACAGCAGGGCTGTAAGGGAGGAGATTTGCTTTGTGCCCCTCAATAATGGATTTTACAGTCAGTTAAGGAGGTCAGGCTGTAAAAGCTGTTTCATTCCTCCTTTTTGAGAGTGGCAGAGCTGCCAAGATCTATGGAAGTGTGAGGGAGAGCAGGGAAAAGCAGGAGAACTGAGGGATTCCAGCAGGAGCAGGGGATATGGGATTAACCAAAGTGCTTGCTCTCAAACCTGTTGATTTTTGTTTTGTTTTCAGGTTCCCAAGATCCCAGATGTGCCCGTGGCATCTGGGACACACCTCAAGTGGAGCTGTGCCTTTTCCACACAATTTCCTTCCATCCAGTTCCACCAAAATAGCTGGGAAAAGGTGCAAGGCTGATTTGTGCTTCTGGAATTGCTAAAAGGAGCCCTCTAAAGTGGCCTTCAAGCCACACTTTCATTGATTGGGAATAAATTTCGATCCATTAGGTGCAATAAAAGCTTTTTATTCAATAACCCAGGAGAAAGATCCTGTAAAAGAATCTATAAAGCTCAAACCCTTACACAGCCCAAATTGTCACTGAAGCCAAGGAGCAGTTCTGAGTAGATTCCTCTCCACACAGAGGATATATTCATAAAAAATATTAATTATATATGGCAAAGTACACGTTTATGTGTTAGTGGCACTAAAGAGACATGGTTCACCTCAACCTGCTTCATCTCAAATCTGGTGTTGCCCATTCTCCTGAAAAATTTTGGTATCAAAACATAGCTGGGAGTTACTACTGGAAAAATAACCCAGCATCCAGAGAAAAAAACCTGCTATTATTGTCAAAGTGCAATTTTAAAAGAAAAAAAAATAGCAAAACCAGCAGCAGGGCTTCAAGCAAAGCCCCTAAATGTGCCTCAAAGTTTGATAAAAATCAAACCCCAGCCAAGACACTGTAGGTTTAATATTTAGAATATAAAATTGTTATTCCCTGTGGAAAGTCTCCACTGCACTGCAGCACTTGCAGAAACACTGTACACACTGTACATTAATTAGAACATGTTTTAGCACATGGATTTAAACCTGACTTGACAGGTTTGGAAGTAGTATTTCTCAATTATTAATTATTTTTCTGGAACTATCACTTTTGTATTCCTGGAACTAATATTTATGAGTTACTTTGATCTGTTTGAAACTCATATTTCTGTATTATTACCTAGCTTTGTTTAAACCTTGTTCTTTAAGGAGCTCTGCACTGGATTTACTTGCAAGAACCACTGCAAACACAGGAATGATTGAATGCTGGGCTAGCCAGAGATAAAGTTGGAGTAATAAGAATGGTTTATTGCTATGATTTGCTTAGAGATATAAATCTATCAAGTTCCCAGTCCCAAGCACAGAGTCAGAAGGGACAAGAGCCTACAAATAGCCAATCTAGGACTATCTCAAGCAAGTCCATAAAGCTAAACCAGGATATTTATTTCCAATGCTCTAACTAGTAGTCTAATCAGTAAAGCCCTTAAACTTGCAATAATATTTCACTGATGTGTACCAGAGCGTTGCAAGTTATAAAATTTCCAATTTAATTTTACTGCATCCCCCAAGCTGTAGTAATTAGAAGACAAACTCACGGGGAAGCTGTTTATAGCTTCAGGGGTGAGAATTCTGAACCTGTCCTGCAGGTCAGCCATGTCCTCGGGGTTCCCAGATCTAACAGCTGCCTGCAGACCCAGGAGTTTATGGTAATACTGCACTAACTCCTCACTCAGAGCAAGGGGGCAGATGTAGATGACGTCCACGTTGGCATCTGAAACAAAGGGGCACAGTGTTCACTGCTGGGAGAAAGGTACAACCTTCCCAACAGCAATCCTGGCATTCCCAAGCCTCTGCTCACAAACAGCTTTCCTAAAAAAAAAATTTAAAAAAATAAAAATGAGGCTTCATTCCCAAATCTTTTGCTGTGCTTCAGCATTTCTCTGTGGACAGGTCAGCAGCCCAAAGGAAGAGCTGCTTCCTGGGATTCAATCTGTAGAACATATTGGGGGCAGGATTTGGGAAGTGGTGCAGGGGGATTTGTGAGCCCAAACTCCCGTTTGCATCAATGGGAACTGAACTGCTTTAAAAATATATCCCATTAACGGCAGTAAATTATAAAACTGAGCCATTCAGTTGAGAAAGCTGAGGAAATTGCAATTTTCTACGCTGCCTGGATTTTCCATGGGCTGTTCCTGCTCCTGTGCTGTCCACACAAAAGCTCACGGTGGGGTATCATCAATAACCACTGCTGGGGATGGGAGTGTGCGGGGCAGCCACTCCAGCACGGTGTGCAAATCTGCTTTTCCTCATGGAAAACAGCTTGGCCTGAAGGGCTGTGTCCACACAGAAGGAAAATCTCTAATACAGGCAGTTTTGGAAAAATTTAACCACTCTCTTCTGCTAAAATATTAATGTTAATAGGTGAGCTAATAAATTAATGGGCCTTGAAGCATCGATAGGCAAAGAGCACTCCAAGATTTTGATCCAAATCAGTGGGAAGCCTTTCATTGTTTTATTGTGCACAAGTGCCAGGGCTAACTGCTATTCCATGGAATGACTGCAGCAAAACAAGGATTGGATAAGGAAAGACTGAGCCAAATGTAAGGAATAAAAGATCCTATTGCTTGATTTTGTTCTGCCAGAGCTGCAGGGAAATAATCCACATTAAAAATGTGAGGCCAGAGCTCACCTGAGGCATTCAGGTAGCACAGAGCCCACAAACAGAGCCTTTATATAATTTTATATAATTATTTACCAGATTAGTTTAAAAAATAACTAATAGACGAGTACAGCACTGTTCACCAGTCAGTACTCAAGTGAAAAATGGACAATTTCAGTGAATTTTGGGAATAAAAAGCTGCAGAATATTTTACTGCTGTACCACTGTCCTATAAAGAGATATAAAGTCTCCTTAGGACACAGTGAGGCTCCAGGGACAGCTTAACTCACAGGAGGTCACAACCAGCAAGGAAATCCTTTTCTAGGGAAAAAACAAACCAAAATGGAAAATCTCAGTGCTCCTCTGCCAGGCACAGGTAAAGAACCTGATCCAGTTCATAACTTAATTAATATTTCGCTAGTTTGTATCTTCCTCATGGTCTGCTTTACAGCAGAAGCAATTTTCATGTTCAGAAATTAGAAAAAAAAAATCTGTTTATTGTGTGACTTTGTCCCTTTAAGTTTCTGTCATTTAAAAGCCAAAAAAATTCACATAAAAAAATAAAACAGTACTGTGGAAAAAACCACTATTACTGCCTAGATAATATATAAATGCAATTACATTATTATTTTAGGCAACTGTAAATTTCTGGGTCTAATATATTTTTGATCCAAACTTACTAAATGGCATTTATAAAATAATCATGACCCTGAAATATAGATGAATAATGTAAAATCTGTCATTCCAGGCAGCCAGTGAAGCTGGTCACTGCTAAATATCATCCTTCCCTGCTTTGCTTAAAAGAAACCTGTCAGGAAAAAAAAAAAACCCAAACTTTTAAATAGATGCCTTTTGCCTCATTTAAAAAAAAAAAAAAATTGGTTTAAATAAGGGCTTGCTCTTTTGCAGCACATCTTTCTCTCCGTGTGAGGCTGAATGAGCACTGCCAGAATGAGCTCCCTCATTTTGCACAACACTGAACACTTTGTGGTGCTCAGCAGCTCACAGGATGAGGCTGCTTTACCTCAGCACAGAGGTACAAGGAAGCAGCGGGATTTTTTTATGGATTAACGTGGCCAGGAAATGCCACAATTCCTTCTCAGCTTCTCCCTGCTCTATATTTAATAGTAATACAAACAAAAAAAGTCCTTGTGTTGTTTTCTTTTGCTCCCAGCTGGGGGGAATAATCAAGAAGCAGGAGCTGATCACGTACCCAGGATGTCACAGAGCCTCCCCATCTGCAGGTTCTGCTGGAGAGCGAGGTCAGGGATGTGCTCACGGATGTGTTGGGAATATCCTGGAAAACAGGGAAAGCCCCCCCCTCAAACTGCAGTCAGAAAACCCCTGGTACAGATTTGGGGGGAAAAAAAAAACATTTGAAATCTCACAGCACTCATTGCAGCATTTTTCTGAATTTACTTTTATTACTGATATAACTGCATGTTTTTCTGTCATTTTAAATACAGACCTAAATGTTACAGCCCCACAGAGTTCTCTAATTTAACCATGCAGACCATTTTGTTGGGAGTCTTTCATGTTGCTGGATTTTTTTATTTTTTTTATTTTGTAAACACTGGGGGTAGAAAAAAAAATAAAATGACACCATCATTAAGCAAGAATCCTGGTAATTTTGTCCTTCACACAGATAAAAGGCACCAAAGCCACTTCATTAAGGAGATGTCTCAGTGCTACCTGCTCACTTTGTTGCAGAGGAAAGGTGAGTGACAGCCTGTCTGAGCCTGGATTATCTCTTTGCAGGTCAGAATTCCAGCTGATTCCATGCTCACGTTCAAAAAGACTGCAGGAAATGACAGCAGCACTGTAACTATAATTTTTAAGCCTGTAATTTTCAAATTGGTGTAATTCAAAAGCAATTGTGGTGTCTGTGCAAGCAGCCACAGCTCCACTGGCAGTTACCTCCAGTGATATTAATTGTTTAATCCATCAGGATTAATCAAAATATTCAGTGTTTGGCATAAAAATTTGATTGATCCAGGAACAAGATCCTTACATTTCTATACATCTGCACAAAGAAAATCACCAGAAGCTCAGGGAAAACTTAATTTTGGCTAAAATCAGCTCAGAGTTTCAGTGCCTTCATGTAGAAAACAGCAAAGTAGATATTTCAGGCTAATTACAGAGACGATTATTACAAGTGATCAGCATTCTAAGGTGCATGTGGCAATTGCACACAGAACATGAGAAAATACAGAGAAATTAAAATTACCAGTTTAATTTTTGGTCATTTCTTACCAAACTTACATATTGCAGTCAGCACAGTGGTACCAGGCACTTGGAGAACTCATCTAAGTAAAATATATTGATTTGATTTTTATTTTTTTTACTCCTCTAGTATTAAGCTACAGTAATTAGGAAAAAAGCTTGCTCTGAGTATTTAAACTTTAGTCTCAAAGCTTCATTTTGTTCTCTCATCCAATTTTAAGGCATTAAAAACGCTGCCTAATATTTTCAAACCATTTAAATACCAGCCTAAGAATGCAGCTGATTTCCTTACCCTGAACTGTCCTCTTGAAAACACTGTGTTTTAAGAACTGGGCCAAAAAAATAACATGCAAATATAACTTGGAAAACCAGGAATTATTTGCAAGGAAGAACAAAGTGGCAATTAAGTAAGTGAAAATTTGCATTTTGCTCTGGCTCTGCAGATCCATGCCAGCATTGTAGCACTGTACTTTTCACAGGGAGGTTAATAAAACATATTAATTCACAATATATTAACTTCCACTGGTATGACCCCATTAGATTTAATGAGGAATATTCACTGCTGGTAAATCCTTGCCCTCCCACTGGACAGGATGAACCACATTCCTCATGATCCACCTTGAACATTCCATACTCCATGACTGGACACCTGATAAAGATGATTAAATGGTTAATAACCCTTTTCTTCCAGTTTAAACAAAACCCAAGCCAAATAAATTCAATATATTGTGATCACAGCCTGCCTGTTCCAGTGCACCTGTGCCATCAGTTCTGCTTCAGCCTCCAGTCTGGGTAAGAAATTCCAAATGGCAGCTGGAATTTGGGATGTGGACAAAGGAACACTTGGGAATGGGATTGGGTTTTGCATTAATGACTACAAAGTGCTAAAATAAGAGGAATTAATTCATCCCCCTTTCAACCTCAGCCATGACCTAACACCCTTTAATTGACATTTCCTCAATAAATTCTGCTCATCTCCAAGTGGCTTCTCCCAGCAAAGAATCCTCAAATGTACCTTGGAGAAAAGGAACAGCAGAGAGAGGGACAGGACACGAAAGGTTTGTGGGATCTGAAGGGGAAGGAGGAAAATGAGCTGGGATCACTCACCTTGTGCTCCCCAGGACCTGGGACAGCTCTAGGAAATAATACCCAAGGTTTCATAAATAAAACTGAATTTTTCTC